TCTTCATTCCCGTACGCATGTCTCCTCTCCCCGCCTAGATGAGAATCTTTTTTAAAAACTCTTTTTCATTCTAGATTTAATTAAAGATTCTTAAGCACAGGGGTCATGTCTTATTCTCCTTTTTATCTTCCTAGCATCCAGCGTAAACACAGCTCAACAAATACTTGCTGATGGGTTGTTTGGCGTCACGGAGCCCACAGCCACAAGGATGTCCCCCTCCCCACTCCCCACACCAGGCCTGACATCACTGAGACGTGACAGTCATGTGGGTAATGTCCCTGCCTCCCGGGCCTGCTTTACACCTGACGCTTCTTACAGCCGGGTCTGGAGCGCACAGCAGAGCCTTGCTCCAGAAGGAAGAGCTTGGGGCAAAGCTCTTTTCATTTAACTGCTACACTCTGACCACAGTTGTCTTGGAATCTGATTGGAATTTAGGCCCAAACCCCAAACCATAGGGGGGATTATTAAGAAGATGTGACTCTGCATTATTTCTTGGATCTTAACTTATCTCTCAATAAGTGCTCATGAGGAATAAAATGACACGTTCGAAAGACCTAATCCCAGAGGCTCCAGTCTGCTGCTGTGGGGGACGGGAGGACCTCACACCGTACTTCGGGTAAATGAAGGGAGGCCGTCCCCTCTGCTGCCATCGGTGGTTTCCAGTAGAAGCTTTCAGAATCTGTATTCGCTCCACGGAGAACCCCAGAGAGCCGTGGAGGCAGCAAGGGCACGGGGTGGGGGAGGGAGGTTCTGCACCTCACACACACCGATTAGTCGCCAGTTTACAGTCTGAGAGTTTAGTTCGTCATCTGAGAAAAGCGGGGAAGATAGGGTGCTCGGCAGCCTTTGTCCCCCATCTCCTCCACCCTCCAGGACTCAAGGGCCTCAGTGGGTGTTTGTCAGTCTGTTGTTAGGTCCCATATCAGAAGATGCTGCTGAGGACGATGGCAACACATTATTCATTCGGTCCATTTACGGAGGGCCTACCGTATACATGCGAATCTCCCTTTGTAATCACGTTTGAAAATGCGCATTTTCAAATTTGAATTTATGAATACAGAGATATGTAAAAACGGAAGTCCTTGATTTTAACAGAAGATGGTAGCGTTATGTAGAAACAGAACCTGTTTCCAGTCTTCTCTCTTTGTCACACACAGTTTCCTAACAAGTGGCTTAGATGGTGGACTCAAAGGGCCTTCTTTCGTGAGAGCCCTAGAAATGTTCTCCCACCGAGGGGAATAATGACAAGCGCGAACAAACAGAGATTTTAAAAGCTTCCAAAAATCACAGAACAGCTGATAGGAAGTTAAGGCTAGAAGACCCCCATTACCTCCATTAACGTGACCCAACCAGACATATGCTGTCCACAAGCTAGGCCATTTCCAGTTGGTAATTAGGTCCACACGGACCTACGCTCTTTACTCTCAATTCATCAACCACATCCTTCATGTCCACTCTGCTTGCCAAACACACCATCAAAACAGCGCATATCAGGACTTTTCAGCGACTGCCAACTCGGGAAGATCAAAACTACTCGAGGTCAACCTTCTCCCCCAGAACAAATCACTGGATTTAATTGGGAGGATGGTGTACCTTGTGATGATAAGGAGTGTCTCCATTTTTTATAGCATCTTGTAGATACGATTTATATGAAATCAGTGGGTGACCTCCTCACACACAGCTTCAGTTTATAAGATGATGATTCAATCCACATCTCTAGCTCAGAACTTTCTATCAGGTTCCATATCCATGGTTCCAAGTGCCTGACCATCTCAAGGGCAGCTCAGATTTGAACTGAGCACACACACCACAACGCATACACATGCATGTGCATGTGTGCACAGACGCACTCTCTCTCTCTCTGTGTCCTAAATCTAAGTTTTAGTAAATTATATCTTTGTACAGTCAGGTTTGCAAGCCAGGCAGTGAAAGCAGAAAGCCAGCTCTCCTTTGTTGGCATTTGGGTTACTTGAAATCAGTGTCACAGGAAGCTTGCTTTCGTTCGTGCACTTCCAGGTTGTCACCCTCTCATGGCCACGCCCCACAGGCTGCCCCCTTCCGTCTGGACCACCTCTCCTCCTCCCCTCACCTGGCTTGGTCTCAAGGTTACACAAAGGCCCTCTGCCCTAACCCAAAGGTCTCACCAACAGAAATCACCCGAGGAACCAAAAGTTTCCCATCCTCTCCCCCAAGACTTTCTGACTCAGCAGGGCCAAGGCGAGACCTAATCCACATTACTAGCGTCGAATTCCATCCGAACCCCAGTGCTCAGCAGGAGAGACTGTGTTGCTTTGGTAACGCCCTGAAGTGTGGGACCCCTGCTCTAGCAGGTAATGATGGTGCCATACGTGTGTGTGCATAGTGGCTGTCACTACACGTGCACACGTGTGCACCATCCCATACACACACTGTGCGCAAATACAGGCGCATTCACGTATGCATACACGGAAACACGGCACGGGCACACCTGTGCATACATTTTATTTCTGGGGCACCTGAGCCCAGATTCTCCCTGACTTTCCTTGGCCTCAAGGAGTGTTCGCTGAATAGGTATTCACCGCGCCCTCCTCCCTCCATGTCGGCCCCCACCTCCCGTCTTCCGCATCCTTGTAGCAGGGCTCCTTAGTGGTCTTTGGGAACGCAGATCCGAGCCACCAGAGTGCCCCAACACCTTCTTTCACTCAGCTCAGACCTCTCAGTTTTCACCACGGATCTGGGGTTCACACCAGCTCTTCCTCCAGCTGCGGTGTCCCAGCGCCACCCTTCGCCACGTGCACATCTTTGTATTTAAATCTTTGTTCCCAGGTGGGATTCCTTTCTTAATCTAGAATGAAGTCACTAGGTCAAACGTATGAATATTTTGAGGATCACTTTCCTGTAAGGAAACACCAGCTTACCTTTCCCCTAGAGTCTATGGGATGGACCATTTTGCTGCTCCCTCCCTAGTTTCGGAAATACTCCTTAAAAACCAAATAAAAACCCAAATGCCGCTAATTTGATTATCTTCTGTTACTATGTTTTTATCTTCCAAGTCTTTGATTTTTCACATTTATTGCCCATTTGTATTTTTTTCTCTGTTATCTGAACATTGGACTATTAAGTTTCATCTTTCTCTAAGGAAACTTTTTCTTAACTTAGTGGTTCCAAACTCACCGGACCAGCAGCATCAGTCACAGCCAAGAGCTTGTTAAAAATCTAAATTCTCAGGCCCCACCCAGACCTACTCACCAGAAACTCTGGGGTAGGGCCCAGCAGACTCCAGCTACCAAGCCACCCAAGACTCCAGGCTACCCTGTCCCAGACTGAGTGAACCCACATGCACAAGAGGAGGGACCCATCTTGTACAACACATGTCTTAGCACAGAAGATAAGACCACAGACTCGGGAATTAGCCTGCCTCAGCTTATCGCCTGGCTCCCCAGTTACTAGCTGTGTGATTTTAGACAGATGGCTTAACCTTTCTGAGCCTCAATTTCTTCCATCAAACAGGTATAGAGACAAAATAGGGATAATAATATAACCTACTGCATAGATTTATTTAGAGAATTATAGTTTCCATACATGTTAAACACTCAACACAGTTCCTTACACACACGCTCAATAAAGGTTAAGTACAGCGACTGCCACTATGACCACTGAAATTATCCCAAGGTCATGGGTCTGAGGCCTGGAGGAAATAAGGTTGAATCTTAAGGAAACTTGGCCATCAGGAAGCAAGAGGTCTCATAATAAATATAAATATAATGGCTTTCTCTTGTTTCCACGCCCTAAAAATATGCTTCTCCCTTTTTTTCCTTCTACTGACCCAGCCCAGCCTTCTCAAATGTCCCTGGCCATTGCTGTCATCTCAGTGCTGACAGAAGAAACGTGAGACACAGCCAATATTGAGAAAACCTTTTTTTATTAACTTTATTTTGAGAGTGAGAAAGAGAGAGAGAATCGGGGAGAAGAAGAGGGAGAGAACCCCAAGCAGGCTCTGCACTGGCAGCCCAGAGCCTGATGCAGGGATCGAACTCACAAACTGGGAGATCATGACCTGTGTCAAAACCAAGAGTCAGACACTTAACCGCTTACCCAACTAAGCTCTGCACCCCCCCCACCCCGCCACATGCCCCAAAAAAAGCTCTTGAACTCATTTTGGGTATACTACATACCTCCAGTGGTTATAAATGGGTTTATAATTCTATACATTTTTATAACATTCTGTCTCTTGTAGTAGCCTTCTCATTGAAGGTTAATATGAGTAATTTTTTTAAAAGACGAGTTCCCATCATTAAATAATTTTGTCATATACTCATAAGACTAGGTTGGATGCATACACCTGTGCTGCCATGGGTTATAAATCTTCATGGTGAGAAGTCACATACAGAGTTTCCCAGAGACTTTGCTGCTGCTTCGTAAAGGGATATCTCATAGGGTCAGTGTCCCAACGTTGGGAAATGCTGTCTTACAGGAAGAGGAAAAGGGTTCCCAGCATTGGGACGACTTGTCGGCAAGTGGATTAAAGGAAAACCCAATGTTGTATAAGAATATTTTATATAGGAAAGAATAGAGGTTGTTTTTCTCTTTAAATAAGTAGCAAACTGGGGGGAGGGCAGTTTCTGTGTCTCCCAAGAAAGACAGTGAATTTTCAGTGCTTTAGAAAAATGAATTGAATACTCCTTTGCCTCACTATACCCTACCTGTCTCGAAACTCTATTGCGATACTCATTTAAGTGTTTTCCCACAGGTGAGACTTCCCAGGATTTTCCAAGACTGGGAAATTATTGGAAAGTGAGGAAGCCATGATCTCTTTACGCTTTTCTCCGCTCCATGAATTTTTCCAGCTATTGATCTTGTTCACCGGTGGCTTGTGCCTGCATCTTCTCATCTTTCCTACTCAAGAAAATTGAAAAATGCTGTCAACCTCACGTCTCTCTTTCTCTCTCCCCCTCTGTCCACGTCCCTCTCCCCTTTCCCCCTCCCTCACCCCACCCCATGTTCCTTCCCTTTCCCTCCAGGAACCTTCTGCATCATATCACTGTGCACCTGTGTGGCTGGAATCAACTTTGAGCTGTCACGCTACCCACGCTACCTGTATGGACTCCCCGATGACATCAGCCATGGATACGGATGGTCCATGTTCTGTGCGTGGGGGGGCCTGGGCCTCACACTAATCTCGGGATTCTTCTGTACCTTGGCCCCTTCTGTCCAACCTGTCCCGAGGACCAACTGCCCTAAATCCAGACCCGAGAATGGGACAGTGTGCTAAAAACAAACCCATACATATATATATATATATATAAATATATATATAATATACATATATAAAACAAAACTAACTCAAGATGATGCCAGTGCCAAGGTAGAGTTGAGTTCACTCAGGCACCCGCATCTCGTCGGACTTTGTGTTGCCTCATCACCGAGATGGGGAAAGCATTCCCATCACGTGGCTCTTCCATCACTTCTTAACTTTTGGCTCCACGGTTTCTTGAAGACAGAGCGAACATCACCACTCGTGATAGCGTCCTGACCCCATCACTCACGAGGATGGGGTGGTGGGCTGGGAAGGGACAGTGCCAGTGGTCTGAAGCGGCATGGATGTAGAGAAGGAGGTCCCATCCTTTGGGCCAGCAGCGAGGACACCACCCCAGCACCGATCATGTTGCAGAGAAACAAAGCCCTTAGTTCATAGAATGTAACCACATCTTTGAGGTCATTTGCAGAACCACTTCTCCTGATCTTCCTGTTCTGATTCCCTTCCTGGCCCACCAGCAACACACAACAAGTGGAAGAGAAAACAGACTGAGAAGGAAGTTTTCTCATTGTTGCCAAACTCTTGGACAAAGTTACAGAGGTGGGAAGGGGGAGAGAACAACGTGCTGAGAGGCAAGATCCACATCAATAAAAGGACACTTCAGTGGATGTTCAGAAAACCCATTCTTACCTTCCAGCTGCCTTACATCCAGTTAAACAAGAGGCCGCCCTGTCCCTGACCCCACCTGCACTCCCTGGGCAGATTGGAGCCTTGGAGTAATGCTGTGATGTGTGTGTGTGTGTGTGTGTGTGTGTGTGTGTGTGTGTGATTACTTTTGGTGGTTTCCTTTTTTCCTTTTCACCTTTTACAATGGAAATACTTCATTATGACTGTTGTCTCTATCGTTTGTGGTGGTCTCATGGCCCAGGGCGGAGTCCCGAGCCCTAGGAGGAATAATGAGGGGCAGGCCAACATGGGTGCCCATTATTCTGTAGCTTCAGATCCCTGGAGTGTGTACGTGTGGTGGATGTTTTCCGAGTGTGGGGTTTTGTTTGTGTTGCATTTTTCTATTATTTGTAGTGCAGCTGAAATTCCCAGAGAGCAGAACTGAGAACAAAATCACTGGGCAGAGGGCCCGGTGGTCCTTCACATCACAGTTCTGGGATGCTACGGGATTAAGTCCTCTAAATCCGGAAGTTCAAGACAAAGCTGGGCACAAAAGCCATGAGAGAAGAGGGGGAACACCGTTCAGGAGGGAGAAGGAACATTGCCTCTGTTGCTGTTGCACAAGTACGTATACCAAACCAGACCCTCACTCCCCGTCGTGGAAGCTGTCCTTTGTCACTGGACATCCACCCCTCTCCTAGGGGCGACCTCTGTACAGATGAAAGAAAATGGGTCACATGCAGAGAGAGCATCTCCATGTCCCGTGGGCTCAAGATTGTATGATATTATGTAAATTAATGGAGAACTCTTGACTCTTTCCATCTTCTTCCTTTCCCTCTTGATATTCAAGGCCATGCATCCCCAAATAGCCGTCTTAGTGGCTATCCCCCAAACAGAGGTGGCATCAGTCCAGCCCAATGTCTCAGGCTCATTCGAGCAAACTGGTCCTGCAGGTGTTGATGACCTACAAAGTCAGCCACAGTCGCGGAAGCTGTAGGGACAAGAGTCTGCCAGGAAGAGTGGGCAGGAGCAGCTGACAGTCACCTCAGTGACCCTGCTGGGGCCGAGCAGCCCCAGGGAGGCAAAGTGAATCCCCGAGCTATACAGTCATGGGTCAACCATGTAGCTGAGAATTCAGTTGCCTAATAAATACATATTCTTTGGGCACATTGCCAGCAGCTCAACAGCCTTCCTTCCCACCCATGTACCTCTTTCATCGACCTGTCTTCTGATCTATCTTCTACCAGTCCCCACTTCTCTTCACCTACTAACCACCTCTCCCTCTTCCATCCGCCAGGCTATGAGTCCTGCCTGTCCCCTCATCTGCTCTTTTTGACTCTGTGTGTGTGTGTGTGTAATTCACATCCAGTTAGGACATCCCATGTGTATGAATGGGCCTGAATGTGGGTCTCTGTATATGTGTAGCTCTCTGGTGCATTTTCTGTATGTTTGTGTCAATATGTACCTGGACATGGGTGTGGGTGTGCTACTCAAGGCTTCCTTCACGGCGACACTGGTCAGCTTCTGCAAAAGGTCTCATGTGTGCGTGCCCCTTGTATGGGTGTACTGAGAGATGAGGGGTGAGATGTGGAGCAGGAAATGCTATTCTCTTCCAATTGGGCTTGGAAGGATTTTTTTAAAATAAAGGATTAATTCTGAGAGAAGGGAAATCATTTTCAAAACCTAACTTTTCCATCATATACAGAATTAAATTTTTTTTCTTGAAAAGTTAGATTTCCCCCTTAAATGACAGGCACATGAGGGCTTGAGGGAGAAGTGAGAAGCATCCCAGATTGAGAGGCTTCGTGTCTTCCTTCCAAGCATCCTGAGTGGGCTCTGCCGAGCAGGGAGAGGCAGGTGTCCACGAGCATCTTTTCAGGGCAGAGGGCCTGTCTGTGACCAGACTCAAATTCCAGCTGTTTCCCAGGTGCAGGAAAATGGAGAAAGAAATTCTACAAGGGACCACTTGCTGTCAGTCATTTAAACTTTTCTTGAGTAGCTGTGTTTGAGGACACTGCCTCACTGACCTGTGACTATTTATACCTTCTTTTTTTATCCCGTGCTTGCCATAAATGGATCATCCACTCTTTCCAGCTACTAATCTTTGTGGTCTACCCTTAATACAGCTTATTGTGTCCCTTTGAAGCCTTCCTGAAATGTTAGGAGGCTCCTAAGAAAGAGGTAAACCACCTGGGCTTCACTTACCATCAGTAGAACTGAGGCTTTGAGCTGCTTCTTTGGTAGCGAGGCCAGATAGGCACAGAGATACTCTGGGGCCTGGGCCTGGTTGGGGCCAATAAAGCCCCATACAGATGGCAAATCCTGCCCAGGGCAGGCTGGGGGTGGGGGTGGGGGGTTCGATTCCTCCAGCATAGGGATCCAAGTTAGAACCCACCGCCCCCATGCTATTACTGAGGCTGTGGCGTGACTGAAGAAGGGAAGAGAGGGAGAGGAAGAAGGAAAGGGTGCCTCCACTAACTCCAAATCAAGGTAGAACCCAACCTATTGATGGGATGTAGGGTCAGCAGCTTCATGAAAGTCCCAGCCCTGACCTCAGCTGAAGCTCGGATTCCTTACAGGTATGCATGCAAGGTCTATGACCAGGTATGTATTTTGAGCTCCATGTGAATCAGCTTTAAGCATGGGTCCCATTTCAGCTTTCATTTCCTTCCTTACCCTATAAGAGCGGGGATTCAGGAAAATGAGGCGTCTGCCTGGAAGGAGGTTCTATTTCTTTCTCTCCCCATTTTGGGAGCTTTGGTTTCTTTCCACTTTCCTTCTGCATCAACTTAAAATAGTTGATCAATTAAAATAGTCAAGGAATGTGTCTCTGGAGAGGCTACTCTCCAAGCAAATCCCTTCCTCGTTGGTTGTGGCTGTAGGCTTCAGAAGGAGGTCTGTGGCTTCCCAGCATTGAAATAGAAAACATTTTTAAAGCTGCCTATTCCAGCTTCAATCCTCCTGAAAGCCTTAGCCTTTCAACAATTACATCCTTTTAGCTTCAGGGATCACAAAGTCACGAAGACTCAACATCACCAGATCAAGACAAAGCTTTCCTTGTTCACACGTCCGTATGTCGCATTCGGAGCCCATTCTGGCATATGCCTTGTTGGGGTGTGCTGTTCCACAAACAGTGCTTGCCTTCCCTTTGATTAGGGAAGACGATACCCTGAAACTCTTGAGTATGGGCCCTACCTCTTACCACGCATCCACGGTCATGATAAAAGGTGTAAAATGAACTGTGTGTAGTTGTTCTGATTCAATAGGAGATGTGCTGCTTAGGTCCCTAAAGCTGCCCACCTGAGTCAGACTCAGAGTAATGAAATCAAGTACATCACCCAGAGGCATTTAAAATGGACTCTATCTTCACCTGGCTTATTCTGGGAGCATTAATTAACTGGTTTTTAAGTATCTAAGGGGAAGGAGTGGGAAGAAGATGCCCTCTGGTCATCTTTGGTGTGGTTTGTGTGGGTTGCTTGGTCGCTTCTGGCAGCTAAAGGGAGGCTGCTTTTCTGAAAATGTTCTCCTCCCCCAGGGGCCAACCATCCCAGGGGACCAATCCAGCTCTTTCCAGGGAAATATGATGAATCATAGAGGTGATTTCACCATATTTAGAAGTCATTGGTGCATATCAGCCAGGTTGGGTTTTGTGCTATCTTCTAGTTGGTATCCAGCAGAGTAAGGGGACAGGTCTTTAAACAAGTCCCCCCTGAGCTGCTGGACACAAAAGATTCTGGTGTCTCAAAGCAGTCAACTTGGCGGGCTGTGTTTGCACTCTTTGCCACCATGGTGCAAAATGTTTCTTAAACATTATTGTTAGTTCTCAGATTATGTTATTATTGGCTTTTGGATTGTTTTTTCTGAATAATAGCAAATTAGAAGAAGTATCAAAAAGATTAAAGGATTGTTTATAATTCCATCACTCGAGGCATCATGATGGCCCCAGCCTCAGTACCTACATGGCCAGTGATTGTCTGGGGTTGACATTTGGGGCTAGGAGTGTAGTCCAAGGCTGCCAAACCACACTGGTCTGCATGGGATTGACCCTGTGTTCATTACAAGAGAAGAACAGGGCCCTGAGCCCCCAAAGATGGCAAAGAGACTTTCATAAAAGGTCAATGCCAGAGCTCAGGGATGGGTGGAACAGAGGGAAAAGATTCCTACTTTCTTTCCTTTTTTCTTTTCTTCTTCTTTTTTTAAGTGCTATCTCAATCTAATTGTAGGTGTAAGAGCATGGAAGCCAGAGTAACTCACTAATTAAGCTACACTTCTCTAATACAGTTACTGTAAAGTTCATTTCAGCTCTGCACTAAAATGATTTGCAACTCTGGGCACTGTGTCTTCTCCATACTTGAACTTCCTCATCCACAAAATGAGGATAGTGATAACACTTTACCTCATGGTATATTAAGGGCGACAAAACAGTTGTGAAGTGATTTGCAGACATGACGTGCCGTATAAATTACGCACTATTCAAATGATCCTGCAGCATCAGAGCCCCCAGTGCATGGAATTCTTCCACGTACATGGTGCATGGGCCTCGTTGCTCAAAGGACAATCGAGAGTGTGAGGTCATTGTGGCCACCAAACAGGACCATCCCTATCCGGGTTCAGCACATGGGATTCTCTTCCATCATTCAGGTCCCTCACAGAGGTTGGCTCCTTAATTTACCCATTCTCAGGCTTCCTTCCTTTTGTCCAAAGCCAATTTTGCAAAAGGCACTCAATCCCTCTCGATTATTCCCAGAGGTGATGGAATAAGTAAACCATATGGAGCAAATAGCATATATGAGCTCAAACAGTTAACTATTAACCAAGGCACAGGGTCAATGCTTTTTCTTTCTTTCTTTTTTTCTTTCCTGCAAACATCATTTGTAGCTGTACATGAACTAGTGATGGGAGCTGATCAGGTTCTGAAGCATTTTAATGGCCTTTTAAGTTTAAGATGGGAACAAATTTCAAAGAACTCGAATCTTCTTTCTCTTGTCAGTTGGTGAAGCAGATGGCTTCATCAAAAGCATATGGGTTCTCTTGGGAATGAGAGTGGATATGGCGCACTCCCTCGGAGGTGTTCTGGGCATGATCCTGTTTTGGGAAAGACTGAATCCTAGGTTCTAAACAAGAATGCAATTCCAAAAGGGTTTGCACCTTTTCTGCTTTGCAGGAGATCTGACTTCAGAGCTATAGGGAGGCCCTCTCTAAGGGAAGTCCAAGGCCTTGCTCACTCTAGTTATAGAGCCCAACCAGGAATGGGGGAACTACCTAACTATAGGGGTGCTTGTTCACTATTGAGAGGCAGAAAACCACAAACATGGGGGCTGGCCTCACTTTGACAGACGCCAGGTTCAGCAATGACAGTCCTGTCCTTCATTTCCAAGGACTGGGTGTTGGAACTCTGTGTCCCTCTCTCCTGTCTCTCATTACTCCCTCAAGCCAAGCCTTTCCCTTCTTTCCCTGGTCGCCTGGAGACCCTTTCAAGCCTGAATGTGTTGGTGTGGCTGTGTTGGAGTGGATGTTCACTCACTCATGCTCAGATTCCTTTCCCGCTTCCGTCCATGGTTGTGACTGTTTTAGATCCAAGACTTTCTGTAAAAATGTACAAATAAAAGTGGAAACTGAAAATAAAGGGGAGGGAATTGAGATGAAACAAATGCATTGATGTAGCCCTCAGTTTTTGGAGGACTTTATGTAGAGACTGCCCTAAAATCCTGACTCTGGTGGGATTTGAAGGGAGGAAAGCCGTTGGCACAGAAGGTTTTTTGGGTTTTTTGTTTGTTTGTTTGTTTCTGGTTGTTTCTCTGACAGTCACTAGTGTCTGCTTGGGACCCTCTGTTCTAAAGCTTTTTGCCTTTAAAGTAAAATCTATTTTCCAGAAAGTAAAGAGCAAGTCATCTAAGTCTGAAGGGTGGAGGTCATCACAAAGGTCAACACAAAGACCTGATCCTGGGTTTGCATTTGTAGCTTTGTCACTGGCTGACTCGGCGCCTCAGGCGAGTCTCATTACCTCACTGTCTCTGTGTCCTCTCAACCAAACCAGGACCAGAGAGCTCCTGGGGCACCAAGTCTCCTTGGCCATTCTGCTGCTATTCTCAAAGGCTTCGAGCCCATGTGGGTGTGTGCTTCCCGCATGAAGGTACATTTGGAGAGTTTTCCTCCCTGTTACTCTTACCCCCCCCTCACTCCTCAGAAAGTAACCTCAAACTAACAGCCAGTTTGTGCTCCAGTCCAAAGCCTTCAATCTACCTTTTTGTTCTCAGATGCCTTTTCCCGCCCACTTTGCCAATCTCATTTGACTGTCCTTACTGACTGAATTTTGGTACGAGAAGCATATCAGAGGAGACGGTGCCTATAATGGCTTTGTAATCTCTGACTCACTATACAGACATGGCTTGTGATGTCAAAAGCGGGGAGGCTGGCTGTGGGATGCCGCCAAATCACACTGAAGAAAGTACTGCTGCAGGGTGGGGTAAGGGCAGTGGGCGGCACATGGGAGTTGGCCGTGAAGGGAAGATAAAAATTTTGGAAGGGAAAATGGCAGAATCCCCAGAGTATCCTCAGCATGGCAATGGAGAAGGATCCCTCAAAGACAGGGCACCATGAAGTAAGGGGAAGTAGGAAAGAAGGGTGGGGAATGGGTAACCCTATAGCACAAGGAACTGCCTCCCCTAAGACTGAGAAGATGAGGTGCTTAGGGGGATGGAGGGGTTCTGCCAAGCTTAACTTAACCCTCCATCCATGGCACCTTCAATCCAAACCTTCCTCCTTTCCGACTGTCCATAGTGATCATCACTCATCATCACTCTGGGACTGGCTTCAGGAAGGCAATTTAGACCAGTGCTGTCCAACCAGTGTAAGCCACATAGGCTATTTTAAATATCCTATTAACCCCATTTTAAAAAGTCTAAACAAACAGGTAAAATTAATTTTAACACATTTCAACCCAACATATCAAAACTATTAACACGATATAAAAAAATTACTGAAATATTCTACCACCCTTGTCTTTCAATGAAGTCTTTGAAATCCAACGTGAATTTTATTCTCAGAAAATATCTCAGTTCTGACCATCCACGTTTCCAGTGCTCAACAGCCACACGTGGCATATGGCTACCATATAGGACAGCAAAGATTTAGGCTCTTTGTTAAGAGACTAAAGGGACCCCCTCCCCCATGAGTCACTCAGATCTCCCAGCTGACAGAAGCCAGAGGTTGGCGTTGGCCCTGAGTAGAGAGCACAGCAGTGATGGCCAAGCTGCCATGGTGGCCCCTGAAATTCTGCTTCACCCGCTTAATCAGAGGAGAGGATTACTGCTTGTCAAATACATGTCACATCTACTCCACGGGGTATCAGTGCTGCCCCTGTGCATGGTGCCAATGACCTGTCAAAGTTCTTGAGGCCAGAGAAGTTCACTTTCTTCAGCTACCCGAGCATCAACTTATCCCTTATCCACATGCCCTTTATCTTACAGTGGAGATGGGGCCAGACAAGCCGCCTCCTCTTGGTCAAGAATAATGGTCTCTACACCATTTTGTCATCTAGTCCAGTCACCTGCTAATAACATCTCACTGATATCTGGCGCTGTTTTTTTTTTTTTCAATCCCTTCTTTTCCTTACATTTGTAAATTAATGTCAAATGCTAAAAGGGGATGTGCTAGAGAGAGTAGTGACCACGGATAGGCAAGACTGGGTTTTCTAGGAGGTGACAGGTTCTGTCCTTTGCACTGGGACTCCACCATCGCCTCCCTGTCCTTCCTGACTAGAGACCTTCCTTAGAAGTGAAGAAACCTCTTTTGTTTGGGGTGGAGGTGGTTGGGGAGGAAGATAAGTTGCAAGATCTTAGCATAGAGAACAGAATCAAATGCATGCCAGCGACCCCTGGGCATTCTCAAAGCATTTCAAAGAGCCAGTATGACAAGGATTAACTCATTTAAAATACAACATTCTGAGCCCTTTGTTACCAAGCGAAAGAAAATAAGCTGATTTGGTGAGTATGTTTTATATATGGTCATTAGATAGGGACCATAGCCGGCAAGACTCTCAAACCCCTTGAGAGTGTTTGTGGTCCCCCAGATTATTGCTTGGTCAATATAAATTTATATAAATTTACCTTTAATTTGCATAGTGCTTTCTGATTGGTTAGACAAGGAGTGGTGTGTACTGCAGGATTCCAACACCACCTCTGCCCTAGGAGGTAGCCATTCCTGCGGTTATTGGTGCTAAAATAAGATTAAATATTATGTTAATTTGTTCTGATACGATGTGAATAAATGTGTTGTTTAATCTTAACAAGAATGCAACATCTTATCAGATCTATTGTACTGTCTGTTCCTTCTCATAATGAATTAATTACAGGAAAGGTGATCCAAACCAGATCTTGAAACCATTGTGCTATCCAGAGAGGTGAATTTAACAGGGAAGTGGGAGGGGGGATGAAAAGGGAAATTGCCAGGTTCCTGTGACTTTGCAAGGACTGAGGAAGCAGAGAGCATTTGGGGACCTCATGGACACTGACTGCATCTTGCAATTTTCTTTTTCGAATTGGCAGAAATCTCGTATTTCCATCGATTGAAGAAAAAAAAGTGTCTGGTAATTAAATGACTTGTTCATGGAAAAAAAATAAAAATAAATAACCTGTCAGTTGTGGAATGTAAACTGATTAAACAATTAAATAAAGAAGATCATGTTGTGTGTTTTAAGTAATTGTGTCTGCTTGGGGAGAGGAGGAAGATGTCGCGGTATTTGGTGGAGAGCCATGTTTTTCCCCTCAGGTTTTGTATAGAAAAAAACAAATAGAACAACTCTTCTATAGATAACAGACGGGAGAGGAATCCTGGAAGAAATAGATAATAAACATTTCAAGCATGTGTAAGCCAAAGGTCCATGCTTTTAGAGTTGGGTGAGAGTGGAGAAGTGGATTGCAATTCAGAAGAGAGCAAGAAGGAAACTATTGTTCTTTTTTTCCTATCGCTGGCATTTAGTAACTTTTTGAAAAAAGCTTTATAAGATGCTGGAATTACTGGTTACATTCTAACCCCTAAGCCTAGAGAAATTTCTCGTTCAGTCTTCACTACCTTGTCCTTCCCATAGGATCACAGTTCCCACCCACCCATGTACCTCTTAAAAGTTTCCAGCTCATGCCTGGGGAAGACAGCTAGGAAAGAAAGATGATAGGACGCACGTGATTGTTAAAGGGCATTATGTGTCAGTCAACATCGCTCGTGTTAAGCACAAGAAACTGGCTCCATCTGGTACAAGTGGGAAAGTAATTTACTGAGATGCTTGGGTAGCTAGAAGCCCATGGCACAGGCAGGCAGAAGCCACGAGATAGGCAGAATCACACCCCAGGCGAATCCAGACCCTCACCCATGCTTCTGTTGGACCCTGGAGACCAGATGGCTGCCTTTGCCACCACCCCCACCAGGATGAATTCCCAGGTCCCTCCTCCTTACAGGCGGTAGCCCCAGAGTCCAAATCCCAGGCAAGCACACCATCCGAGGGTGTCAGGAAAACAAGCCTAGAACCTCTTACTTCTCTCTCTGCCTTCCACCAAGATCCGACAATTCCCCAAACATAGGAAGAGGCATAGAATGCTGGGCGGACAAAAAAGGGCACATGCCCATGAGAGGTGGGACCCCTGAATGAGAGGTACACTGCTCCATCTTCGTGGTGCATCTGACGGAGGTTCGTGTATAATCTTCACAATAGCGATGAGCACCATGGCTGGTAGCTCTGTCGAAAGAGGGCACAATGCTGGCCATTGTACGGAAGACCTGCATAGATTTGATCTGAAAAAGGAAAACTAATATAGGCAGTGGAATTTAAAAACGAGAGAAAAAGACCAAGAATTATCATCATCATCATCTTGGAGGTAATGGAAATAAGCAGTAGAACAGTTCAAAAGTAAGTAGAGGTCAAAGGTAAGTGCCTTACAGAATGGGTGGGGGAAGGGCTATAAGTAGAGAAAAACTTGGAAGAAATGGGAGACTAGAATCCCAAGGGCCCCCTCCCCTCCTTGGTAGTCATGTCCTTTGGGAGAGAGTGAGAATGGAAACCCCACTGAGGTTAAGAAACGAGTAAAGCCTTTCAGCCTTGGTCCTTCAAGGGAAAGCACGTGGAGTTAATGAATTTCTGTTGCAGCCAAGGTAGAGAGGGGGAGGGGAGGGCTAATGCTCCCTCCAGGTCCTATGGATGTGTGTTGTAGCACTCCCACCTGAGGGGTGGGTGAGGGCACCAGCAGCTCTCTCAGGCATGATGCCTGGGTGCACCGTAGACAGCCTGGGGTAAGCCACAAAGAGATGAATGGCCTGGTTCTCCTTTTTCCAATGAAGCACAGCTTTGATTTCTGTGTCTGATGAATTATGCAGTCTGCTGGGTATGTGGGGAACACACCTACTCCCTCTCACCCCGCACCTCACACCTCACACCCACATCTCACACCTGTACCTCCAGGCATGCAAGCCCCCACAGTGAGAGCTGTATATGGAGAAAGGCAGCTCCAGGAACTGTGACCCAGTCCGCCAAATATCCAGGGTGGTCCATGGAGGGACACTCTCCTCCAGGAAGCCTTCCTTTCCTGAACACCCAGCCTGCCAAGTGCCCTCCCCGGAACCCCCGTGGCACATTGGTGTGCGTCTCTCATGGCATCTAGTGCTTCCAGAAGGTTGGTGTTTTCTTTGGGGTCTCCTCAGGAACTGGGTTGTCCTGAGGAGCAGGGATCCTGACTTAACTCATTTTCATGTCCCAGTGACTAGTAGTGCCTTGTGTGAGCTAAGTGTTCAGTAAATACTGACCTGACCAAACTGAAGTCTTCTCCCATCCACCCTCTCAAGTTGGTCCTCAGTACTGGTGTCAAATCCTTCTTGAAGTAAGTGTTATTGGGGGTCCTCAGGTCCACCCTCAGATTCAATGATTTGTTAAATGGGCTCTCAGAAAAGCTGCTACACTCAGGGTTATTGTCTATAACACTGAAAGGAGACAGAAAGGGAAAAGGCACATAGGGCAGAGTTCAGGAGAGAATGGACACGAGCCCCCAGTTGTCCTCTCCCAGGGGATCTACACAGATGACACTTAATTCTCCCAGCGATGCTGTGTAACAGAAGGAGTATCACCAGTCAGGGAAGCTCACCCAAGCCTTCGTGTCCAGGGATTTGGGTGAGGTCGGTCATGTAGACATCAAGGGCTCATACAGCTGACCTTATTTGAGCAGCTTCCAACCCCTCCTGAGGTCAAACTGACATGCCCTGGACAAAGCCTCCACCGTAAATCACAATGTTAGCATAAACCACCCAGCACGGCCCTAGGTGAACTAGGTAAGGTGAACCACGGCCAAGGTGAACCAAGACACACTCATCAAGCAGAATATTCCTTCTTTGGAAAGTGCAGGGTTTGGACAACCCAGACCTGCTGTGTCAACCCTTTATCGTACATACGCTAAGCTGTGTGATACATCAGATCAGACAGAACATAGTCCTCTCCATGCGAACAAAGCTCCTCTCCACATCTTCTAGATCCCTTCCCTTGCCCCTTGACCGTCTATAGAAAAGCTTCGTCCTACCCTTTGCAGGTCACTTGCTGAAGCTCTTTGGACTTGCTGTCCTTCCCATCCAGCCTCTTCAAACGGCTCTATGCACCCTTCACAAGGGGCCGTGTGGAGGGGCAGGGGAGGGAACACAAGAGCTCGAGTCTTTGAACTGATCTGAATTTGAGTCCTTCTACATACAAGTTGTGTCACTGGCCCCCTCAGCCTGTGTCCTTGTAGGTACGTAACTGGGCACCCTGACACCTACCTCCCAGACCACTTCACAAAACGAGGGACCCAAAGGAGATGCCTGGCCCAGAGGGTCACTCAGTGCCTGTCAGCCACCCCTCACCCCTGCACTTTGCACTCTCATTCTTAAGCAGGCCCCATGTCTTACCTTCCAGGAGATTTGGGTGACATGAGAGTCCCACAGGTACCCCACGCAGTCACCACCCCAAACTCCCGCGGACAGTGAACGCATTGATCATTTAGGTGCAAGCTCACACGTATTGTATTCAATCACTGTTTAGTCCATACAACTCCTATGTAGGCATACGGCTAGTGCAATAAAATCATCCTTTGAAATATTTTTAAATCAGGAGAGGAGGAAAATCTGGTATTAAAAGGGCTCTTTCCCTTTGTGGAGGCCTTCCTTTCCTAGGAAATACTCTAGAACCTTGCCACTCTACCGGCATCACCTGGGATCTTGCTAGAAACGCCAAATCTTCAGTTTAATCCCAGATCCACAGAATCAAAATCTTCAGTTTAACAGGATCTCCTGGTGATTTGGACGCACTGGTCTGGAGCATTCGCTTACCCTTGCTACGTGATGTGAAAGTTGTTTTCACCATTTCTGTTAATACCTTTGATCTAGGATAGAGTTCACAGGAGGATTTCAAAAGACAATGAAAAAAATTAGTCCCAGGGTGAGGTTTCAAGCCACATCGGAACAGGTATCATTGTTAACCTACATCCCAAGAAAGATCCTTCCTCCTGGATTCGACCCTGGTTCTTGGGATAAGCACCAGAGGAAGGGGGCCAATTATTGGGGGTTTTTTTCCTCCCAATAAGCAGGTGTCAGGCTACGCTGACACCCTAAGCAGCTGTGTCCGAGCAGGTGTGCGTAAGACCGTGTGGTTTTCAGCCACCATGGGAGAGCAGGCTTGGGGTGGCCCAAGGGGGAGGCATTTGCCGTCGCCTCTTCCTGAGAAAGCCTGGACCATGAGACCAAGTAGATCTGAAGAATGAGGATTAGAAGCCTATGTTCCTTCTTTTGTGTTCTTTGTGAAGCGGATGGCACAAAGTCTGCCCTGCGTTCAAATGTGGTACCACCTACCAGTGGTGTAACCTCAGACAGGATATTAGCCTCTGCATGCCTCAATTTTCCCCTCAAAAGATGAGAATGGTACCAATACCTACCTTGTAGCATTATTGTGAGGATAAAATGGGTTAATCCTTGCCGTGTACTTAAAACAGTGCTTGACATACAGTAGGTACTATGTATGTACTTAGTATTCAACATTCCAAATTTGAAGTGGCCTATGTGAAGTCCCACTGGCTAATGAGACCTGAGCGGAAGGTATGACTGTGGGGCTACACGTGAGGACAGAGCCATGGGAAAGAGGGTAATGGAAAGAGTTTTCTGCAGAATGTTGCAATGAAGTTGATGGGAGCTCCTGTTGTGTGGGGGAAATGGGAAGGTCCATCTCCATGAGCATCCATTGGCATCGCTGGCTGTGGCCTGACCTTCCCATGCCAGGCTGCCGCCCCTAGAGCCATGAGATCCCCAGTTCTGCCCCCGGCCAGCGGCTGGGACTGTAGTGACCCCTCTCGGTTTTCTCTGCACCCTGCCTCGGGAACCCCTCCCCTTGAGGTGAAAGACACTGAGAAGAGTTTTTGGTGTTTGTCTTCAGAGTCCTTCTTATCACGGAGGTTTGGAATAAGGGTGTTGTTTTTTTATAATTGTTTATTTTCCCTAAACAAATAAATGTTCTTCTAACTACAAAGTTTGCTGCTCACAGGCCTGTGAGATCCATTTGTAAGGCACGGAAAGAAAAGGCAGTGTAATGTATGTGCCACTCTCGGAACCAGCTAATAGTCATATGCTCACTTATTTAATATTTTGTTTTGTTTTTGTTTTTGTTTTTTTGAGAGAGAGACAGAGACAGAGACAGAGAG